TTCTCTTCAGCACATTCCTCATAATAGCTGCCTAATATTTGCACAATACTTTAATTGTAAGTATATGTACATATATACAAACATATGTATGCTTTCCGGCACTCATATTTTGCCGCTTGCTGCAGTTAGCTGATGCCTGTCAATGAACAAAAGCGCAAAATGAAGAAATACTGCTAGGAAAATAAGTAATAAAGAAATGTTTTTAAAGGCACGTTAAAGTGAAAAAATGCATCTAAATCACTTAGCCGTCTTGCAGAGAAGTAGCGCGACGAGAAGTTAGACAAGAACTGGCAAAGTGTGCGATCAGTTACGAAATCGGGTAACATGAACTGCGCATGCGTAACAATGCAAAGCAACAAAATATTATAAAAAAAAAATATGTAAGTAAAGAAGTATAAGTTTGGGCGATACCGAACTTTAATACCCGGCACACGTATTTAACAACGTTTTTTAATCTTTATGTAAACTACATGATAAGATATCATACAGTTTCGATAATATGCTTAATTAGACACGAAGAAATGATTGGACCAAGTTTGGTAGGAATCGATAAACAACGATATACATTTATGCATTCGTAGGTGAGCAGTGCCACGTCAATTGTTTTATTTCTCTTTAAGAGATTTTTGTAGGTATTACCTTACAGTAAATTAGCGTAATTTATTGATAAGAGATTTTTGCAAAAATCGATAGAAGTAACCTCGCTAATTACTGATTTATAGTAGTTTTCGTATTTCTGTAAATTACAGTTACATTAGAGGTGAGCGAGGTTCTAGTCTTATTTCAAAAATGTTCAACAGGTTTCTTTCAGGGCAATTCTGGCTAAGATAGTAGAAAATCTTTCGTAAGACAAATGAAAGACAGATGGCAAGATAGCTCGAAAAACTTTTTTTATTCTAGCACAAAAGTTTTAGAAAAAACTTCTCTTATTCACCAATCGTGGTGAAACGCTATTTTGAGGGAAGGCGGATTTTTTTTATTTTCTAAAATCAAACTTTTTTCTTAATTTGATTTTTAGATTTTACTGTCTTAAGAAAAAATATTTATTTTTTCACTTAATTTAATTTTTAGAAACTAATTGTATGTTTGTTTTTTCTTTTCTAATTTACTTATTTTTCAAATTTTTTAAATTTTGTTTAAAAATAAAAATACATTTTTAATTTTCTTTAATTTTTAGAAATCTATTTTATTAATTTTTCCCTTTTTTAGTTTACATAATTTGCTTTTCTATTTTTAATTTCATGTATGTACTTTTAATTTTTTTTTTTAAGAAAAATAAATTTTTTAATTTCCTTTAAGGTTTAGGATCTTGTTTTTTTTTGTTTTTTTTCTTTTAGTAAATTTTTTTTCCAATTTTCAGATTCTGTTTTAAAAATTAAATTTTTTATTTTATTTAGTTTTTAAAAAATTTATTTTATTTATTTATTTAAAAGGCGAATAGCATAAAGCTAAGACCTCCTAGTTAGCAGATCTTTCAATTAGTCTTTCGAACGACAAGTTTACCTATTCACCTCGGCACAATTCGAATTACGTACCTGATTTGGTTGAATATAGACTCAACTTGACAGATGTGCGTAAACGTGCAAAAGAATGCAAATGAACTTCCTTACCTTTGTGAATTGAAAAAATTCACCATGGATTCACATTCACGATCGCATTGAACTGTATAGAAAGCTTGAGTTAAAATCTAAGCATTGTTTATGCCGAGTTTGGTGGGTAAAGCGGCTACTGAGATAGGAGAGATCATAATAAGTGGGCATGGCTACGCCCATTTTCCAAAAATATAGGAACTGTCTTCTTCAATGCCACAATTCTTTTTACCATACATCAGCACTTTGTATCCAGTATTTACGGAAATATCCTAGTTTTTACTGTTTCGGAAATGCCGTATGTGGGAGGAGGCGTAGTCACCGTCCGATTTTGGCCATTTTCGATATCTATCTTTAATAAAAGGCAGCCCACACGCCTAATGACGATACCTAAATTTTTGCTGAAGTTATCGTGTGCACGGACAGACAGAGATGGTTTAATTAATTTCTCTTTTCATTCTTTTAGGCAGTTACAAACAACCGTTATGCGAGCAAAGTTATATTATCCTAGTGCACAAGTGCGCTCGGGTATAACAATAACAGTCAAAGCAGTGAGGCTTCATGCGGCAGGATGTGGCCATTGCGGACCCATTATGCTTGGCTGCTCGCAAAAGCGCATGCGTAACAATTGCCGGCCAAGTGATCGGTTACTCGCACTGCATGTCGTCTTTCTCGTGTGTAAACAAAAGCAAGTTTCAATTTCAATCCAACCGCCAGCAAACGCACACACGCACACATGTTCGCACACACACATGCGCATGTGCAGCAGAATGCGTGCACTATGTGCTTTTTGTGGAGCCGCGTTTAGCGTTCGTGTGGGCCCTGTCCATTGGGCGGCGTCGGCCTCCGCCTATTGAACAGCCGAGCAGTCGCTTGTCTTGTTCGCTGTCCACTCGCTTTGTTGCCTGCTTGACTGGCCGTCATTTCCTACATTACTTTTTTGTTTGTTTATTTTGCACACTGCTTGTGGTTTCAATTTTGCAACCGATAGCTAACGCGCGGCCCAACGACCCGATATTCTCACTCAGCTCACTTTGTGTACATTGTCTTTAGCTACCTTTTTTCATGTTACCTCCCCCTTCTCCTGCGCACCATGCCGCGTGGCGGTTGCTATTGCACCAAAGGGTAATCAATCATTATGTTGCTTTGTATGTTTTTGTCTTCACTCTGAAATTGCTTCTTTTTTATGAATGTTTTATTTTGCACTTTGCATTTTGCGGTTTCAGACTACTGTTGCTGTTATTCTGTTTCATCTCGAATACTCTTCTTCCCAATACGCACAGACTTGACTCGAGCTTGCGGCTTTCATCACCTCACTTCTCATCTTCATTTGGCTAATTTAGTAAATGCGGTCGACATTCAGCGGCGGCAGTCCATTATTCACCTCAATTCGTTCGTTGTTTCATTGATTTTCTGATTGGTTGTTGGATGTTCGGCTGATTGTTTTCTCAAATCTCCGGTTTCTTTGTGTTTTGCTGCGTTGAGTAATTTAAATTGACAATGCGTCGCGTGAAATTACTTTTGACAAATAAGTGCGATTTTTGAAATTCATGAGATACTGAGCAAGTTTTTGTGGCCGATTTTAAGAAACGGATGCGCTTCTAGAATGAAGAAAAAACTGTTACTTGGTCGATGAACAAGTGACAACAAATTAAGTTGTTCGCATGCCGAGGATCGGAATTCATATTTTTCTTTTAGTACCAATTTGCTTTTCTGGTAAAATTATTTATTTCGAATGCATGGGATAGGTTAGATTGCCGCTATCCAAGATCTGTGTGAAGACTCACTTATGCCAGCTGNAAAATTATTTATTTAGATTGCCGCTATCCAAGATCTGTGTGAAGACTCACTTATGCCAGCTGCTTCTAAATTTTAAATTAGCCTGAAATTGTACAGGCATTTGAAAATTTGTTTATAAAGAGATCTCTTCATATACGTTGATAAGAGATTGACGTCTGCGCAATAGAAGTTTTTATGCCAGTTTTATAATCTGAAATTTTGTAAATAACTTAGAAATTGTGGTATCGTGAGCCTTTTTTCTTAAAAAAGTACCGGTTTTAGCATGGTATTTAGTAATTTATTTAGTACAATGAATTTGGGGAGGATGGCAGTAAAATCCAAACTAGGGATAAGTTGTCGTTTAAAAAGGAAAAGTTCGCTAAAAACGAGTCTTTTTAAAGTATTAACGCTCGCGTTAATATTTTTTTTTTTTATCAAATTGTGCAATCTTAGGTAGTTTGGTGCCAAGTCGCGCCAGTTCATCGGTCTTCCCTTCAATATCGCAGTGTTCGGGAACCTATAGCGACATTGGGCGAAATGAATCAGCCATCTCGTTGAAAGATGTGCGGCATTTCATGGCTACCATGGAGGTTGTCCCAATTTTGTGGCTCGATCTATTACCATCAGTTCCGCTTGAAAGACGCTACAGTGGCCCGGAAGACAGAAGCTAAGGGAGCTGCCCAGGTGTTCGGAGTATACACCCCCACCAACCATTCCCTAGAGCTTTGAGCCATCTGTGTATACATGGACGGACTCGCCACTCCTTAGAGCGCCTCGTTTCCTTTCTTCCCTTGAGGGTAGGAGGGTCGTAAACGATTTTGTACGAGCATGGCTAGTCCACCAATCCGGGAAGCTCCGGAAACTCCGTTAATATTTTACCATGACCATACCTGGTGTTTGACCACTTATTTAGTCTATTCATACGAATTTGCGCTTTGTTTGGCATATAGATCTACCGGAACAAAGTTCAGTAGGGCATAAGTGCCTTGGATGGTGTTGCTTTCATCGCACCAGCTATTAGTGTGGACGCGAGCCTTTAGATCTTATCCACAGTTTTAAAGTTTACCCCTTTCCCAAGGTGTCCCACCACACCAGTGTGCCGTGATAGAGAATTTGCCTAACCACAGCAGTGTATAGTCAGTGTATTATTTTGGGTTCCATCCCCATCTTTTTTCTATTGACCTGATTCAAGAGTATAGTGCTAACGTTGCTTTTCCCACTCTATGTGCCATGTTAGACCCCCAGTTTAGTTTCCTATCTAGTATGATACCTAGATATTTGGTCTCTTCGCTAGAGATATAGAATCGAGGTCGGGTATCTTGTGCTTCTTAGTGAAGAGCACTAAGTCCGTCTTTTCAGGTTTTATTCGCGGTCCTCACTGTTTCCACGATAGGGAATTGAATAACTGAAGCTTATTCCAACTATATCTAAAAAAAAATCAGCGATGGCGGTTATTTAATAAAAGCAAATAAACTTAACCGTAAATATCAAAAGGAAAACGTCTTAACCTGTGTGTAATGAATGGTTACCTATTGTTGAGATACTAATTTAAAAAACATAAAAAGTAGAATTAGGAGTTTCGACAAAATAAGTAGTTTTTATGATTGAAATAACTTAATCACTAAAACTTACTCATTACAGTCTCTGTGGCTTCGATGCGCTCCCAAATTAATATCTCGCTCACAGGTGGCACTTTTCTGCAATGGCGTTGAACGCGGCGGTGACGACCCGTAGCCATCGGCTTCCGTAAATGTAAAACTGATATCGGTTGGCACATCTTTAAATGGTTTCATGCTCCGTGGCAAACTGCGATTGCGCATACTCAGATTCAGAAGTTTCAACTCATTTTCATTTAGTTGCAATTCAGAAGTGCCGCCACTCTCAGTGCTCCCCTTTAATATGCTATCCAAAGCTTCATAATTACTTTGCTTTTTCTTCTTAGGCGGTAGCGCGGGCTTTGGATCCTCTCCCTCGTACTGCAGTGAACTAAACTGTTCCGGCGTTGAGGGTGCTGTGGATAAGTGTTGCCCGAAATCAACTTGTGTTGCGTTATGAGCATCCACCATTAGCTCCTGTTCCTGCGCCAGATAAGAGCTATAATACTTGGAAATGTCTTCCGTGGTNCAGTGTGCCGTAAAGTTTACACCAGTGTGCCGTGATAGAGAATTTGCCTAACCACAGCAGTGTATCGTCAGTGTATTATTTTGGGTTCCATCCCCATCTTTTTTCTATTGACCTGATTCAAGAGTATAGTGCTAACGTTGCTTTTCCCACTCTATGTGCCATGTTAGACCCCCAGTTTAGTTTCCTATCTAGTATGATACCTAGATATTTGGTCTCTTCGCTAGAGATATAGAATCGAGGTCGGGTATCTTGTGCTTCTTAGTGAAGAGCACTAAGTCCGTCTTTTCAGGTTTTATTCGCGGTCCTCACTGTTTCCACGATAGGGAATTGAATAACTGAAGCTTATTCCAACTATATCTAAAAAAAAATCAGCGATGGCGGTTATTTAATAAAAGCAAATAAACGTAACCGTAAATATCAAAAGGAATACGTCTTAACCTGTGTGTAATGAATGGTTCCCTATTGTTGAGATACTAATTTAAAAAACATAAAAAGTAGAATTTGGAATTTCCACAAAAGAAGTAGTTTTTATGATTGAAATAACTTAATTACTAAAACTTACTCATTACAGTCTCTGTGGCTTCGATGCGCTCCCAAATTAATATCCCGCTCACAGGTGGCACTTTTCTGCAACGGCGTTGAACGCGGCGGTGACGACCCGTCGCCATCGGCTTCCGTAAATGTAAAACTGATATCGGTTGGCACATCTTTAAATGGTTTCATGCTCCGTGGCAAACTGTGATTGCGCATACTCAGATTCAGAAGTTTCAACTCATTTTCATTTAGTTGCAATTCAGAAGTGCCGCCGCTCTCAGTGCTCCCCTTTAATATGCTATCCAAAGCTTCATAATTACTTTGCTTTTTCTTCTTAGGCGGTAGCGCGGGCTTTGGATCCTCTCCCTCGTACTGCAGTGAACCAAACTGTTCCGGCGTTGAGGGTGCTGTGGATAAGTGTTGCCCGAAATCAACTTGTGTTGCGTTATGAGCATCCACCATTAGCTCCTGTTCCTGCGCCAGATAAGAGCTATAATACTTGGAAATGTCTTCCGTGGTGTTGGCAGCATACTGCTTGCCGCGCACCAAATCGCCCAAATGGTCCGCGTCTATGCCGAATAGGAAAGGATCATCCAAAACTGTGACGCGTGCATTACCTTTAGTCGCCTCGCTGCCGTGCAGATCGCTCGCGTTTTTATGTCGCTCTTTTGCTGACCTGCCGCCGCCCACCGTTGACTCACTAACTTTACTGACGTGACCGCGCAAAGAGCGTAGCAACTTTTTGCCACGACTTGTCGCAGATATCGGTGATGAAGTGGTTGACGACCCCGTCGCGGCATTGGTGTGCGCCTGATACTTGGAGGGAAAGAGTGGCACTGGCGGCGCTTGTTCGTCACTTTCTTTGCCTTTTTGCTTTTTCTTCTTCTTCGTCAACAGTTTGTCCACCTCCTGATTACGGGTTTTACCCATATCGGCGCCACTGATCGCATCAATTGTTATTGTTGAAGTTGTTATAGCTGTTGTGGGGTTAGCATCTGCCTCTTCTAATTGCGTTTCGATAAAATCGCCGGCCACTGTATCGTAGTCAGCGTTATGCATGCTGCCACTACAACCACTGTCCTTGCCACTATTCGTCTCGTTTTCGTTTTCGTTTTCGTTGTCGTCGTTGCCGTTGTCCGCTGCAAATCCAGTGGCAAGCGCGCCGACGCCGCCAGTGGAGAGCGCCAGACGTTGGGCAGCCGCTTTGCTGTAAACTTGTCGGTAGTACTTCTGCTGGTCCCCGTACAAGAAGCAGACGCGCCACCATTGTTTGCAGGCCAGCAAATTGGCGGTACGCGGCACCATCGGCACCGGTTCTATTGACGACGACATGCTATCCATGTTGTACCTCCGGCTGACTATTAGGGTGATGCGAGTTGGTGCATGTGAATGTTGGTACTCGTTAAAGTTGTTTTGTTGCTGGTATTATTTCTTGCTTATTGTTATTGCAGTATTAAATTTGTTGTGTTGCAAGTAGACCAGTAATTACTGTTGTACGTTTTTATGTCCAATTTTGGTTTTTTGTTCACGTTTTCAGCTCAGTAGATGTTTTCTTCGTTTCTGTTGCTCTTGTTTCCAGCAATAATTATGTTTTTCTTTTTATATAGACTTTTTCTCAGTTGTTTTCTTTTAAGGTTCAGTAAATATGTAATTGAACTGCAATTTGGCTTATTTTTTGTTTTTAATATACTTTTTTGTATTGTCTTTCTTTGTCTTTCCAACTCCTTGGTTTTTGGTATAATTATTTTGTCGTATTTATGGGCCTTTGTCCGTGTGCTCCTGTTTATTAACACTATATCGATTGTGTTCTCGGTTTTTTCGGTAGTCACTATTTATTGCGGAGCCTAAATAAATTATGGTATTGTTAAAATTTGTAAGTAAAAAATATAAGTTACCGCGATTTGTTATCACATTTTTTGCTGCTTTGAAAACGTTTGCTTCTCCTGAAATGCCGACTTGACATTAATTTGTTGACGTTAACTAAATAATTTATTTTACCTACAAAAGTTGCTTCTTAAATCTGATTTAACTTTTGTGTATCTTCAAAGCCAATTTTTTCTTAGGGAAACTACTTCGTTGTAGGTGGAAAAGAATGGGCGACAGAGCATACAAATGAGAGAGGTATTTTCCTTTATATTATAAATCTTCATTAGCTTTCTTTAGCATGTCGCTTTTACACCGTTCTAATATTTTGATTTGTTGGAGTTGGGTGGTTGTGCAATTGCCAGATGTTAAAATGGAATAGCGGAAGTTAAACTTTTTTCTAGAGGGTTAAAGTTTTATGTTTCTGGTAAAATATTCGACTACTTTACATGAAAATCTCTACCTGTAAATTATTCAAAACCAGGAAAAAATACATTCTTTTTCAAATAAATACCATACACCAGGTATAGACGCTTACATTTCTATTGCGAGAAGGTCCGACAAACCCGTGGGGATTTTCAAATCAGCGGGATAAAAATCCCTTCCTTACTTTATTGCAAGCTTTTATTTTTAAAAATCTTTTGTTTTACATATCGCTCGTTTAATAATAAACATAGAGATGTATGTGATTCAAAATTTACGTTTTTGGAGATTTCAACATACAATTAATAAGCTTGATAAGCAGAATATACTTAGCCTGACAGATTACTAAATTTCTCAAAAATGGCTAAGATATGTGTCTTTCCATCTGTTTTTGGTATACCAATTGTTCGTTGCAGAGGTGAGTCACTTGTTCCTTACCTCGGGTGGGGGGTAACAAGTAATTCTCAGCAATGCTTGAACTACAAATACTCTTATTCTAAAATTCTCTACCCCTTACCACTGGTGGGGGGGAGTAGAGTCTAATAAAATAAGAGGTTAGTACTTTCAATATTAAATGTTTTACCCCTTACCGCTGGTGGGGGGAAGTAAAGCATACAAAATAAATTTTAGAAGAAGAAGAAGAGTGTTATTGAGAGTCTTTACGATTCTGAATATCTATTAAACATTTCTTCTTTATATAGTTTTCTTACTTTATGTTTCCTAACTAATTGTATATGTACATATGTGTGTGTGTATATATATAAATAAGAAACCAGTGCATTGGTTGTTATGGTATTTTGGTTGTGTGCCTACATCTTTGCATGTAAAGAATATTGATAGGCAAGTTATTTTCTATTTCTAGCACCATAAGGGTTGCTTTGCAGCATTGACATTTTAATGTTTCCCGTATGCGCTGCATTTTATGTGTGTTTATATTTTTACAATTGATAAAGGATCAACCGATTCAATATTTTATTGTTTCTGGCGAACGTTCCTTTTATTTAATTACCTAGTTTGGTGCGTCGAATGCGCTTGACACTCTTATCGTATGTTTGTGTTTGGATACATACATATGAATTTATATATGTAAGTGTAAGTGTACAAATTACATTTTCTTCTATCTATATTTTCTTCAGTGGACTGTATGTTAGTTTTGGTGCAAGTGCACAAGTTTTATCTTTCCTTTGAATATTCAAGGATTAGAAATGTTTATTACAATTTTAAGTTTGAGTATTTTTAAGACCCAGGTATATATGTATTCACACATGTTCAAAGATGTTTGAACACCAATTGTATGAACTGATCAAATAATTATGTTTATTATTAAACGTGCGACATGTTGGCTGCATTTCTTTATTCATTCTGAACGTTTGGAATAAACTTTTTTGTTTACTTTTTCTTTAGAACGTTCCTGATGATATGTTAACATATATTTCAAACGCGTTCTGTTTATTCTGGCGGTGAAATGAGTTTATCCGGAATGTATAAAGAAACGCAGCCGTTATCTATTCCTAATTTGTAAATTCTGTTATTACAGATGTCGTTTTTAAATCGATCCAAAAAGCTCGACATTAGATTTTTCCTGAATTGATGAATATCAATACATACATATATGGTTTCCTCTATTAAATTTTAGAGAAATTTGAAATTTAAGCTGACACAAAAAAAATTAAGAGGAATTACCCTTTGATTTTTGGCGATTTTTTTCTGGCGGTCATGCGTCGGTCATGAGCAACCACTGCAGCGAAAAAACTTTTAAAAAAGTCCCAACCTCTTCAATAGTGTACTAAAATTTGATGGCCTACAAAACTGAATACCAAAAGTTTTCTTAAAAAGAGTTTGCGAAAACAAAAAATAAAAAAACGTCCGTATTGCAAAAAAAATTTGTATACGTATGAACAATACCTTTTTAAAATATCGGTTAATGTTTAGCGAGAAATACGATTAAAACAAATTTTTGGAAAATGAGCATGACACTTCCAACTTATGACTATATATGCATATTTCTCGGTAATCGGTGTATCAATTCGTATAATTAAACTCGGTATAACATTGAATTGACATAAAAAGCCAGACCTGCAGCCGGATTCCAACATTTGCTATCGCTTCGATATTTCTAAATTAAAGGACTCTAATTTACTCAAGGTATATACTCATAACAATCTCATAAAAGGAAATTAGATTAATATGAAATTTTGGAAAATAGGCGTGGTACTCCATTTACTATCGAAGATGTTTGAAATAGGGGTAAAGCAGAACGCAGTTTTAACAGGTAATTTAAATATATAGGTGCTACTGTGTCTAACGCGGATGCCAACCCAGCTTGCATTGTTTACTCACTTAATTGCTTTTTCGCCGTTTTGACCAGTGTTGTCATCGAAAATTCTCTTGATCCGAATTATCTTTAGGACTTAATCCGGATCAACTGCAGTTACTTCCCGAGATAATTCCTAATAAACGTGTTGATCCGGACCAACGCTGCCGTTTGTCTGTGCTTTTAGTCTCTCCACCTTATAAATAGTTCAATGGGGCAAACATATTTGAATGGTTAATAGTTATACAAGCTTTTATTAATATGACCCCAAATATTTATGAAACAAACTAAACGATTTTTCCTACATATAAGAAATTCTCTAGAATGCTTTCATAAGTACATAGTGATGCACAAAGGTATTCCTATTTTCATTTTCTAACAATTTTCACCTTGAAGCATGCATAAATACATATTTCTAGATTGAATCGAATAACAAATTTAATGGTAAGCCAACCGCAAATGTACTGCTAATGGCTAATGGCTAATGGCCTATAACTTTTAATTGATGTCTAATATTAGGCGATTGCTTGGCCAAATGGCGAGGTAATAACCAATGGTTGAACTCAGTTTTGAGTTCCTCGTTTACAAATGCATTCTTCGTAGAGTGTATAGTATTGCCACCAAAACACAAATTCAATCTTAGCAAAATACAAACAACAAAAACGATCAATGCTTAACGTGAGTGCAAAGTGGCTGGCAGAAGCCCGGCAACACTGCACACACAAGCACATTATTGCGCGATCATATTGATAGTACGACTGCGGTGGATGGTGTAGATTGGCAGTAGGTAATCAAAGTGTACACTTGATGGAATGCACGTAATGCCTGGCTGATGATACGATCTCCGATCAATGGCATTGTAATGAGGCAAGGAGTTAGCCAGCTGGTAGTGGAGATGGACAAAAGTAGCTAATAACAAAAAAAAAAACAAAAAAAACATTAAAATCGTATAAACGAAAGAATAATAAGAGACGTGCTATCTGTAATTGAACTCGCTAAGAACCGATTCTATCGCCTGATGGTGTTGCTATTCGCAACGAAGCAGCCGCTATCTGCATGCATCTATCTATCCGCACATGCATTAAGTTGCGCATGCGCGTTCTACTAACTACTCGAACTGCGTGACGCATCTGAAAAGCTAGTTAAAACAAATAAAGTAAAAGAAAAAGTGAAGACAAATAAAGCATAAGCAAAAAATAAGAACTTAAAATAAACCAGCATATAGTGAAAATTGTAAGATTAGCAGTTGATTCGACCAGATGATAGACATGGCAATCTGTGTGCTGCAGCTGCAATTTATGCCAAGCAAAAAGGGGGCAGCCTTATAATAATGAAGCACAGACAGCGTACGGCTGACGGACTGACTGCGAGCAGACTGACTGATGGCCTATGTGCTTGACTGACGTACTGAGTAAATGGTTGCAGCAGCGAGGTAGCGGATATTCAACTGCAGACATCTAAATGCTGGCAAATACGGAAGCGCTGGCTTGCTGAATTGTTCGCTGCTGAGCAAAACTGCATTAAACTGGACCATTTGGCGGCCTCGGTGTGTGGCTTATATTACATACTCGTATTAAGTGTAACTGCATACAAATAAGTACGTATAAGCCTTCTACTGCATGCGCTAAATTTGTATGCACAAATATTTGTTTCTTAGCTTTGTAAGTATGTCCGTATGTATGTGCATCAGCTCATTCAGCGCATTAGCTTCAGTTTATTTATTTGGGAACTGCAGCAATTACTGTTCAGTTTACTAATTTTTTCTAGTTCGATAGTTCTTTGTTCACTTTTTGCTTTTAAGTAAAGTACAAAACAGTGTTCGGAAAAGTTTCAGTGAGCACATAAGCATCAATTTTTATTTGAAAGGACTAATTCAGTTTGGGTACTAAATGTACATAGATGCTATTTAGAAGGCAAATAAATTTTGTGGCAGATATGTGTCGAAGTGTAAACGTTTATGTAGTTGTGGTCGGAATCTGATAAAGTTTTTTTAATAGACGAAGTGCCTTAAACAACCTCAGATTTATTGAATTACATTGCTAACAAATACAATTTTGCAGCAACACTAATTACACTGTTCGACAAATTTGTTTTTTTTTGCTCCACGGATGCCCCTCTCCAATTCCTCTCTGGAATCACCTGCTGATTCAGAAAAGCGAACAAATTTTTTATGTGCCAATGTTGTCGAGATATTGTAATTTACTTGTTGTGGAAAAGAAAACTAACAAAATTCTCCATAAACTG